ACAGCCCCGCGATGGTCCAATTTCTGCCAAAACGGGATGTGACTCTGGATAATCCCTTGTTCGGAATGTGTTGTCCATAGTAGGTATACGCCACGGTATGACTTAATTTATTTCGTCCTTGCGTTTTGGCGGCCAGGATCCCAAGACAAGAGTCATAAACTTGGCGAGATTCTCGGACGTGTCGCAATATCGATCTACAATGTATAGGATAGTCTGATCGTTGGCTCGTTGGCTCTTGGATACGGTCATCCAGATAACCAGAAGCTTTATGATCAGGGGTATGGGTGTATACTATAAGAGAAACACATGTATGTTCTCGCCTGGTGTAATGTGGCAAACGAACGGGTCGCTCTTCATAGCCAATGTGATAACAGCCGAGTAGCTGTTGCGTATCACCTCAAGGGCTTTTTCTGAGCTCTTCCAGGGCTCCCTTTGTTAAACACACAAGTCAACGAAGTTCAAATCCATTAGGAATGAACTTCCTATGGACAACCAGGCTGTCATTGGAAGTTTCTCGCATCGTTTAGAGGCCTTGAATAAGTGCCAAAATGGTCCCTTATCTTCCGCTCCATTGGGTTCCGAGCGTCGATACCTTCCGGTAGTGCAGATATGTGAACTCATCTGGTCTGCATCTGTAGTAGAGACGAATACAGTCTCTCGAATTCCACTTTGTCAGATTCGGAGTTCTGTCTTGATAGGTGTACGTGTAAGCCGCGGCGGAATCCAGTTCCTTTGATGATGCATCGCTGTGATCGCTGAACCGGTTCCACTCTTGCACCAGTTGGAGAAGAGACTGGCGTCGACAACTATGTAATTCGCGCCACGGTGCATACCACAGAGCAACTTTACCGTGGAAGAAGTATCATGTCTTCTCAGATCTAGGGTTACTTCTCAGAGAGTATATAAGTGGAGCTGAGGATGGCCGAATATCCCCAAGATTGAATAAACTGTCTGTCCAAGCATTCAAATGCCGGATAGCATGAGATCGAGACCATGATCAACTACCTCGTAATTCCGCCCCTCTGTCTCTCTGCGGGCGAAGATTCTTCGATGGAGCCATCCCCACAGGGCCCGCATAGCCAGGAAGACGAATGAATAGTCCCATAGAGTTTGATATGTAGTGTGGGACAGCGACCCGACCAGCCAGGTAACTTGCTATCTTTACAGACAGTATATAATCTCGCCACTTAGCCATCCAGGTCCGGCAAGATTGCTGGCGAGAAGAATAAAGCGTGTAGGCATTTGTGCTCTGCTTTAATCAATTCCTTAGTGTGCCCGCTTCCGAGATTCTGGTGTATATAAGCAGATAAACTGTCTGCGTAGGACTTTGTACCTCGAACACAGATGCCAAGTTCGTCAATGCTTGAGATGCTCTTCTTTCTTTCTCCGAGTAGATATCCCCTCCTTCGGGCTCTCTTGGTTCTGCCATTATCTTCGAAGCCAAGAAATCATCCGAAGAGTCTGGTTTGCGATGTATACGCCTCCTCTTCTTGTGTCAACGTAGGCACGGCAGATGGAAAGCGTAAGTTTTGTATTTGGCCATTGTGCAGCTTTTATATAGCCATAATGCCGGCCATTTCTGCATACACGTGGTCGACATGCCCATCCATTCGCAGGAATTCGGACAACACTCCGAAACACTCTTACTTCTCGAATTCGAACGCTTTTCAGGCTGCCACACATTCCATGTATCGAAATAGCAACAGCCTGCCACATTCACAATTCAAGAAGGACAGGACACAGTACTCGCTTCCAATCCAGACATGGCATAGTGATATGCCAACAGTTGCTTTCTGATAATCTTGAGGCATATTCGTATTGTGGAAACCCATACCATATCTCAAGTACTCTCAGGTTGCTGGAACATGGCTCATGTTTGGTTGAGCGGGTGCATGAAGGGAATTGCAATGCCCAAATATAGTGCACTTAGCAACAGAGAGTATAAGTATGTGCCTCAGGGTTGTGTCCTCGCCGTCCCCAGGCCGGTAACCCAGAAGACCTTGTTCTCGTTCGTGGCTCTTCGGGTTTTGAGCCTTCCAAATGGTTGTACACCCGAGAATGTACCCCTCTATCTCCATATTTCGAGAGGGGTTCGATATAGGGAACTCGGTATCGGAAAGATTTGAGTGATTCCAACGCCGGGCCTATTTGTCGTACCGCAGCGATATGTAAGGAGACCTATCAATGAAGAAATTGTGGGAATTAAAGGAATGTCATGATTATCTTTGAGATCAAGGAGCGTACGATCGCTTCAGACACTTATAAAGCCCTTTCGCAGCTATTTCCGACCCCAGAAGGTAGTATTAGGGTTAAGGATAGATAACCCCTTAGACTAGACTGATTGAAGAAGAGAAATTCGTGGAGAGCTGGGTAGTATTTCAGCCTATCATGTTGATGACAATGGTGGTCTTGCTGAGATTTAGAGGAACAATCCAGGTTCTCTGTGGCCGATGTTATATTGTGTTGATTAGACGGTTTTCTGGGATTTCCGTTCCCATTGCTCTGGCTATAAGTTAGAATCAAATAGTACTACTTCATTAAATTACGAGTTCTCATTCCTCACCCAGTAGAGGAAACAGGCCATGTGGTTCCCAATGTCCCATTTGCCTTTGTTACGGCCGATGGGTTGGGAGTATTTTGGACCACCCTTCTCTCCAAGCCGTAGTCATATTGGGACTTGACCAAGTCCAATACCTCTCTTGCCATCTTTGCCATTATGTAACCTCTTACCTCTGGGGGTTTCGATGTCGTTGTATGATCGGCTGTGGTAAGGTAAAGTGCTTACCACCCCATGTTGTCTGGCAAATTTTCGAAGAATACTTGTTCTTCTGCCTCACCAGTGCCCGATTATATATTTTGTCGCCAGCCGGACATGCTAGGGCTAAGTTCACTTTAGGCATGTATGATTCCGTCAAGCGGGAGTATGACGGCCTGTTGCAAAAGGAGATTGTTGAGAGTCAGAACTCGTATTCAGAGAGAGTCGATATGATGTAGTAGGGGATAGGGTAATTGGTCGATTCAATCAAAGTGTTCCATGCAGCGCACGCGACCACTAAGCCGTTCGGGCGCTAGGGTTTAATATATATAGTTTAGCCCTATATCACTGCGCAAGGGCATCAGATTGGGTAGTAGTATATATTCCTGGACTGAGCATAGCAGATGATAAGGAAGAAAAGGAGAGGAGAAGACATAGACGGAAGCAGATTATATAGCAGACAGGACAGAGATGCTATTCATCGCTCATCTACCAAATAGTGAAGCCTGACATCGCATTCATTCTCCCCAGTCAATATCCTAGCCAAGTGGCAAGCAAGAGTAGGGAATGCTGTAATAATTACAAGCCATGTTTAATTCAATCTACTATTCCCACATGCAACATCATGTTGATGAATATGCTGCATGATGCAGGTATGCTGTGACGTTGAGGGGGATCGGCAAATCCATCGTATGACGATTCCCGATCATGCCATAATCAGGATACTCTCCACTCCCCATACCCGAAAATAAGGTGATCGTCGGGAACTCCCCCATCTTATAAATAAACCTTGGTCTAGCCGTCACTTGAATCCTCCAGTATCCGCTTCGCACTTATCAAGACAAATCAACCATATTGAACATCAAATCATCACTACAACATTACCAACCATGAACGTCTCGGCTTCTCCCTCTGGCTCGCAGCCTTTCATCAAGAGACCTACTCTAAGTCCCGCATTCAAGAAGCCTAGCAGATGGTGAGTGTGCCTTCATTCCCCAGATGACGTATTGAATCATAGCTAATGAATACAGGTATCTCCCGCTTATGGGCGCCATAGCTCTCGGTACTTTCCACCCTTCAATACACAAATCCACTCCCACCATCTAACCATTAACTGTAGGCTTCGGAGTCGCCAACTACTACGAAAACCAAGCCCGCCAGCCCCAGTTCGACCGTGAAGAAGAGGAACGTCTTCGAAAGAACCGGGCCCTGATGGATGCCTACGGCGACAAAGAAACAGTCCAGGATATCGAACGGGCGCTGGTCGTCTATGACCTTCAGTAATTACCCTTGATGGAAGGAACGACATTGCATTACAATCGGGCACACTTAGCGTGGAATATGGTTACGGCTTTCATGAATGATGGCGCATATGGAGTTTGGGTTTCCTTTTACTCTCCGGAAGAGATGAGGCATGGATTTGTGGTTTCGGGATTATGAATTTGACCAGGCATTAACTTGCTGGTTCAGTTATCACAGATTAGCATTGAATTGAGAAGCAAGCCGGTTATTGCACTTATGCTATCTATCTTCTTTTACAAATGAGTGGAATTACCGACCGAGTCTTAGTTTCTAAGAAAATGCTGTTTCGTGCCTCCCTACTGCACTGGCGACTCAATTTTGAGACCACCAACCTATCATTACCCCATACCCGCCACCGGAAGCGGGGAGAGACGTTCTGCAGCTCAACAGCCAATCACATACTCACACATCCAATCCCGCACTGCATGATGCTGATCACGAGACTCGGATCCTTTCGCAAAGAGGTTAGACTACTCCGTACCCCTCAAACAATCAACACAGCCCCTTTCGTAGCTGCATCTTCGAGCTGTGAAGGTTACGTGTCGTTGCTGCAATTCAATGCTACATAGGCATCTATCAATTAAGTCTGCTGCCTACATCTGCACCGAGGTCAGGGTATCTTTATGACCCGTCAGATAGTTGTTTCACCGTAGAGTGCTATCCATATTACGGATAGATTATTCGGCATATCGTACAGCGGATGAAAGATCTCCCGCACATTGCCCTTAAAGGGAGCTAATGTAGATCACTTCGGCAGTTGGCCCGGAACGTCTAATGCCAGTGATTATACAGAAGCTCGAAAGTAGGGGCTGAAGCTGCCTGGAACACCCTAACCTTGAGAACCATACCGACTCCTATACCTTGCTCCTCAAGGCGTACAAATTATGAACGACAAACAACACCCCATTCATCAAGACTCCCACGCCAAAACCTCTCATTCATATCATCCAGCTTCTTCTGCCCATGCCTTTACATTCTTCTTCTCCTTCTCGTAAACCAATTTGACTGCCATTTTCCATGAAACTTCAGGCGACTCAGCAGGCCCGAAGAACCGCTCGTCAATATCCTGCCAGAAGGTCGTATCAAAAGCAAAGTTCCTTTGCGCTGCATAACTGACCAAGAAACCACCACTCTCCCAACTCTCTTGCATAGGCCCGAGAACCCTTGTCCCTCTTTTCAGCGTCCAGAGTTTATGAGGGCCTCCTAGCGATCAATTAACACGTTCATACAAGTTTGCAACCTATGCTCGAATAACCCCCGTCCAAGATTCCATACCATCTGGCCAATACTCTGGTTGTTCGAGAAGTAGCCACCATGGCGATGCAGCCGAGAACTCTGCCGGTGCTGCGTAGGAGAATTCCCAGTCTGTTACGCCCACGATTTGCATGTTTGCGCTGAGGAGCACATGGGGAGGCATGGGATCGTCGCATCGTAGCCGGAATGACCCTGAAACACGACCACGAGTAGATGAAGTTAGTCGACGATCTTGCTAATTTGCAAAATAGCTTCCTGACAACATATCTACGCCGCCAATCAGTAGCAGATTGTACCACATCATTGCGCTGGTGCTTCGCTTGCTCGATATGAAGTGTAAGTCCAAATTTTGCGTTGAGAACGCTCGGGGGGAGGGGGCTTCCGCAAGCCCTGTATATCACAACACCAACGAGAAGTCAATATGGCAAATTGTACTTCGTACTCCATGAATAAAGCTCCATTCAACCAATCCGTCGACTTGTTGAGGCGAGGTAGTATACACTTCAGCCACAGAGCGTCAGAAATACTAATTGACAGGCTTTTCCCCACCGGTATACCCTGTAGATCTTACGGTGATAGCCACATGCCCAGGGCTTATTGCTATGAGCGTTGGCGTTTGAGTACACTGGGTTCCTGGGAGTTACAAGATAGGATGCCGTGATCACAAATGGAGGTGGTGGTGCAATGGTAGAAGGGCGCCAGTGGTGGCATTGAATCGAGGACTAATTTTGGGGGAGGAGGGTTTCCCTAAGTTTAAACTGCCAGATTTATAGGATTTTATCTACGAAAAGGTCCTTTTGCTACTCAATCTAGGATCTGTATTCTGAATAATTAGATATTCATCATCTGGGAGTGGACCTTTGCGTCATTAATATTTATTCTATAAAATCTGTTACTATATTCTTGTGCCTGGGAAATTCATTGGGTTCGTAGACTAGTATTCTGTAGGTTAGAGGCCGGCAAGTTACTTTTCTATCCTTTTAAGCTTAATTTAACTTCGTAGCTTTCTGAATATGTAAAACCTTATACTTCATGCATGTCCTTAATCCTTTAAGTTGTACGATATACACAATACAAGGATCACAGGGTAGCCCCGTCCTTCTTCGACACCCAATTTCAAGAGTATCTCTACTAGTGCTATTACTGCTATGCTTTCAACGATAGAACCCGATGATAACTCATTCCCTTTCTAACTCAATACCCTAGGCGGCTGTCATCTAGTACATGCCTGGGTAGGAAACTTCAATGATAGATAGTATAAGGGACCAGGAAATAAGAGAACTATGTCCATCAACATTAGCTCCGATGAATCACATAGCCTTCCAACTCAGTCTGATTTCGGGCTCTATTCAACAATGACTACGGCTTCACCTGGGCGATTGCCATAGTATAGTTGCTCTATACAGACGTTAGTAGGAGTATTCCTTTGTTGAGCACAGCACGTAGATATCTTCCACCGTGAGACATACTGACAGTCAAACTATACTCATCGGCACCATCCTAACAGCACTTGATATGGGTAAAAAAGCCTTCGAACAGCTCTTCCATCTCGAGGATAAATAACCATCTTCATCCTCTTCGACAAGAGATCCTAACCAGAGATACCAGATCAATCTTCCTCGATCTCATCTGCTATCCTCAGATTTATCTCCGCATTCTCCTGATACCAAGGGTCACACAGGAATCTCTCAGGCTCACTCGCCATTATTTTAGTGATCCAGCAACGAGACTCAATCACCATCATGTCTTCAGGCGACAAGAACGCAGGTCGTGACGAAGCTGCATTCCGACTTGACCTCAGTGCTTCCCAGGCTGAATTCATGATGAACAAGGGTAATTCGTCCGGCAAAAAACGCGGGGTGTCTTACGAACCCAGCTCCATGAGAATCCCAAATCAACGTGAAGAGGAGCAATTGACAGAGTCGACAAAACTGGCAAATGAGAGACGGAAACATGTTACTGAGAAGATTGCTGACCATTACAGAGAGAGCAGGGGTTGATGCAGATGTCAGTTTCGTTGCTTGTTGACAAATACAGGCTACTACTGAATGACCATCTATATGCGCCGTGTGGATGGAGAACAAACAAAGAATGTTATTTGCTTTTATATAACTGCCAATGCACGAGTTACGACTTCATACTTTTCTAACTTAGAAGGAGAAGCCTCCAAGCTTCAGTATCAGTAGGTGAAGTGGGATAATTTCCTGGGTAAAGACAAAGTTATCAGGGCTTGCGTATGAAAAAGCCGTACCTGGGTAATACTTGCGGCGCTGAACATTGTAATACTGTGATTGTGGGAGTAGATGATACCAGGATGCTTTAGAATTTTATGCTATGATGTGTAATGTGTTAGTTGTCCCCTAACCTAGGAAAAGGTCAACCTATAGGAAAGCATTTACCTTCACGAAGGGCAGGGCACTCTAGTATAAGGCCCTTAGTAGCCAGTGAAGTCTATGCTTTTATTTGATGTTGAGTTTAATCATTATAGTTACGCAATCTTACAGAGTTACCGACTCACACACTGATACTCTCACGGGTACTCTGATAATACTCAAGTCTGATCACAGATCGTGGGGTTTCTGTCCAGTCCTACAAAGCTCCTTGTGGTTGTGCGCCATTTTGGAATATATCCAAGTCCGACTACCACGTCGTAAATCCCAGTGTAATGGTTGACATCTGCATTTGCACAAAAATGCAGTCTTCCAGTCGCCCCGGCGAAGCTCATGTAAGTGGTGTGTGCGAAGCACGAGATTGTTCAATAACCCAGCCAATATGTTCTAACAATAAGCATAATATTGAGTAATTACCCCTAATACCCATTGGCCCCCATTCTTACGCCGTCTTAGCACTCGGGCAATTCGGGCATTCGGACATCACGGGATTTTCGGTCGTAACGGCCGTAACGGTCCTATCGGTCATATACCGGACTACCTTGCTGTAGGGACAGCTTGAAGATAATGCCCTTCCATCGTATATATATGAAGCCAGTGCCTCTTCTTCGACCTGAGTATTCCTTCTCATTTTTATTCCAACACCCCTTCCAACACCAGCCTCAATTGAAGACAAACAATGACCAGTCTCAAAATCCTCATCTCCGGCGCAGGCATCGCCGGCAACGCCCTCGCATTCTGGCTATCCAGACTCGGCCACAACATCACAATCATCGAGCGATACCCTGGTCTACGAGCAACAGGGCTCCAAGTCGATCTCCGCAGTCCTGGCATTGAAGTCCTACAACGGATGGGTCTCGAGAAAGCCTTTCGCAAGGTCACCGTTCCAGAACAAGGTCTGCAGCTTGTTGATAGCCGCAACAAGCGATGGGGATATTTCCCTGCAAATCGAAGTGGAAAAGGATTGCAGAGCTTTACTACCGATTATGAGATTATGAGGGGGGATCTTTGCAATATGCTTCATGATGCTGTTAAGGATCGCGTGGAGTATTTGTTTGGTGTGTATGTGGTGGAGATGCACCAAACTGATGAGTTTGTTGACGTGGTCTTCTCGAATGGGAGGAGAGAGCAATTTGATCTCGTTGTTGGTGCGGATGGTCTGGGGTCTCGTACGAGGTCGATGATGCTTGAAGGTGAAGATCAGGTTCACTCGATTGGTGTGTGTGCTGGGTATTTCACGATTGAGAGTGAGCTGAAGAATAGAGAGGGATACGACGCCACGGTGTATGTAACTACCCAGGGACGTGGGATTATGATGCGTCGTCATGATCCGCACAAGATACAGGCGTATATGTTCTGCAAGGCGGGACCTTTCGAGAATTGCACCAGGGGTGATGTGGAGAGGGAGAAGCAGGTTATGGGACAGGTATTTAACGATGCAGGATGGAAATCGGAGGAGATTATCCGGGGTATGGAAGAGGCGGACGATTTCTATTGTGAGCGCATGGGAGTGGTGAATCTGGATAGCTGGTCGCGGGGCCGTGTTGTCTTGGTCGGAGATGCGGCTTATTGTCCATCTGCTATGACAGGAATGGGGACGCCGTGTGCCGTGGTTGGTGCTTACATTCTGGCAGGGGAGATAAGCAAACGTTGTGCGAAGGGCACTGGTTCCAAGGAGGATATCGCGGAGGCTTTCAAGATTTATGAGGATAAGCTCAAGCCCTTCATGGTGAATGTCCAAAAGGGACTCTTGGACGATCACGATTACATGAGCAGGCTCCCTTCATCTACTTTGGGCATCACTGTCGTGTATCTCCTATTTGCAATAGCATCCTTCTTGAGATTGGACGTCCTGGCGCAATGGGTTCTGCGTGAAGATTGCAACAAGGACTGGAAGCTGCCGGAGTATCCGAACATGGTCAACAACTGAGAAGCGTCGGAGATTCTGGCGGTTTTGGCGGTTTTATATAGAATTTGTTTAATTGCTGTGCGTGTCTCGCTTGTACAATGGGCTTTATGGGGTTAATTTGTTGTCACTTCCAATATAGTATCTTCTCTCCCAGATAATCGCCACTAAATTCACCATCCCGAGAAGAGTTGCAGATCGGGAAAGTCCAAGTTAAAGTCGTTGTCGTGGATATAATCGAAGCCGCTGTCTAAGGATTCCCCGAAGTCATTCGATCTATTGAGACTCTCTTCGAGAGATGCAGTACTAGGTCCAGCGGAGATAGATGCCCCGACTACCATGTCCTGCATCATATTGTAGCACACATCCACACTCTCATGTAATGTTCTTGAAACTGCCTCCTCCTCGGACTGACCATTAAGCCTAGCTTCCGCTTGGGATAGCATCATATTGTAGAAGATATAAACCTTAACGTTAGTCTCTCCGTAGTGTAATCTTTCTTTTGCATACTGAACCACGCAGCGGGCATCTCGCAAAAGCGTTTCCTGACGAGCATAGTCTCTTCTTTTCGCAAGACTTGAGCTCTCCGCTTCTGGATCGGGGCTGGATTCTGAGAAGATGAGTATTGCCGCGCGGGTCACAATGTCACGGAACATGCCACCTCCACAGCGAAGGACACGAGCGTACAGATCGTCTTCGACCAGTGCTACGATATCTAGTGCAGCTTCGACACCGGCCTTGCGAGAGTGACTGTATAGAGGATTGACCCTTGCCTTGATGGCAAATTTGTAGTGGAGACACAAGGTAAAGCGTCGAATTAGATGGGTGCAGAAGCTG